AATAGGTGAGTTTTCCAAGCGCACTATAGTATACAAAAGGAGGAGTTAGATATAGTGGGCGTATCTGTCGGGACGATCCTAAAAGATGGAGAAGTTCAATCTTTAAAAAATTAAAAAAAAAATTTCATGTTAACACATTACGACAGTATTTTGTCACGCTATTTACTGCCTAAGGACCAAATGCTATGTGATCTTATCCCTAGTATCCTACGTGCTTCTAGTCGTTATTGTATTTCGATGGTATCTAAATAAAACGTTCCCTACTTCTTCGTCCTTTTCGACACCCATATTTGTTTTTATTTAAAAATTTTTTCTTTTTAAAAATAGTTCCACTTCCATAAAAATACAATATTATTCTTATAAATACATTACTATTTATCTTTTTTATCAATTGTTATTAGTGATAAAATAACATTATGAAAATTAAAAATAAAAATTTTTGAATATTCGAAATCTGATCAGACAAATGCATGCATCTAATTTGTTTGTATAATTTCATAAAAATTATATTTATTATAAACAGTTTTGTTTTAACAATTAATGATTCAATGGTTTACAGAAATAATGAAAACAATTACTTTATAGCATTTATTAACTATTTAATAATATCCATATTAAAAAATTTTTCTGTATAATGCAAATAAATATAGAATTGTTGATTTGTGTATCGAAAAAAATATATTTTCCTACAAAGGCTTAGCATGTTTCTCTCATACATTAACAAAAATTAATAAGATGAAGTAATGTTATAGAAATAAAAATAAAATATTAAATACACTACTTTTTATTAAATGTAAAGTCTTCTAAATAAATAAATATATATATATATATATATATAAAGGTTACTCACCCATATGCTCAAAAATACTAAAATATTTTTGCTACGTAAAAAATAGAATATAAAAATATATTAGATACTATTCGTTAGTTAATCAAACCATACTAAAATTAGTCTAAGAATAAAAGTGAAAAATGTGTAAGATTTAATAGAAAAATTATATACAAATACATTAGTGCATTAATTTATTAGCTTAAAATGCAGACATCGTTTTAAATTCCTCTTAGAAATTTGGATCATTGTAAAATTTCTACAACTAAATTAAAATCACTAAAGGAGCAGCATCAAAGCACTAATGAGAAAAACTGAATAGATAGATTATTCAATGTTAAAAAACTGTAGGAAGATATTAATTTTGAAGATGCGGGTGCATTATAGTGACTCAACTTTTAGATCGATACTATTATTATAGTACTTTAATATTTAAAATCAATAAGAGATTGAAAATAATGCTCGGATGAATGAAATTACACGCATTCTTCGTTTCATAGAGCCTCATAACAAGCCTATTAACAGTGCTAATCCAATTCCTTATGACCATCTCTCGCTGAAAATAATTAACCTTCGTGCATGTAATATTGACTTTTATACATTTTATGATTGAACATTATTTATATAATATGTAACTAATATTATATAACTATATAATATATAATATATTAATTAATATAATTAATTAATAATAAAAATAATAATTAATATAATATATAATATATTAATTAATATAATTAATTAATAATAAAAATAATAATTAATATAATATATAATATATTAATTAATATAATTAATTAATAATAAAAATAATAATTAATATAATATATAATATATTAATTAATATAATTAATTAATAATAATAATAATAATTAATATAATATATAATATATAACTTTATTTATATAATAATATTATTTATGGACAAATGATTAATTTATTATGCTTAAAATTTACCAAATTGCAGTTAATAAAAATTTACGTTACTTTAATAAACTTTTTGTTTTTGCAGAAATACAAATAACTGATATTTAAGGAAATTTATAAACATATACATTAATATTTATACCATTTAATTTAACTGAACTGACATCATCATTAAATTGAACATAACGATATGTTGACCAATCATGACGATATGTACATAATATCTATATATAAATTCTTGATATTTTATAATAAAAGTATTTTTATTAAATATTTATTTTATAATTAAATAATTTAATACACATTCTCTTTTATTTTATTTTAATTTTCTTCACTTCAAACTTTAATACAATATTAAAATGAATATATAATTCTATAATTTCATTTGGCATCACAATATAAATATTCCATATCAGTATACATTTTAAACATAAGTTAATTATAAAAATTTAAATTAAATAAAACAAATTTCGAATATAAAAAAATTTAATATTAATATTAATTTGATTTACAAATTGATTTAAGTATTCATTAGGCTACATTGAATATTTTATAAAACTATTTGTGGCAAAAATAACATAAAATTATACAAAAACTTTTATTAGTTAATATATTGTTTCTATTAAGTTAATAAATAAGTTTCTATCGATGTTTACAAATATTCTAATCTATTTTTAATTATTTTAAAAAATAATTTATTTTCATTTATCCTAAACAATGTTTGTTAGAATTTTTAACAATACCATAACCATATCAATAATCATAAGTATTAGAATTTGCTTAATTTATCTAAACACTGTCTACGTAGTTAAAGAATATTAAATAAAAATAAGTTAACTCAAATTTATGTATTATTTGATCATTAAAATTTTACAAGAAACTATATATTTCTGTAATATATATTATTCATATCGAATAGGCCTAATTAAAAATAAACAAAATGATTTATAATAGTATAAGAAATATAAAAAAGCTATAATACCAAAATTTTATATGAAGTTAACTATACTATTTTTATTAACTACTTACAATAGATTCTAAATTTTTGATAAATCATTTGTAAATCATATAAAATACAATCTTTTATTTTGATTATCTATTTATTAATATAGAGAAATTCAAAATATTTTTAATTTTTATGATTAAAATTAGTCATTTTTTCTTATACATGTTATTTGATATTGTATCAAAAATGTATATCTAATTAAAAAAAATGAAATTATTTTTTCCTTTCACAGTTACATTTTTTATTTTTACAGCTGCACTTTATTAATCGTCTTTGGAAATCTTCAATTTCATCATTAATTTCATCATAAGAAACTTTTATACTATCTGCATGTTTTAAATCTTCCCTGAAGTATTAAAATTATTATAAAATGCTATAAATATTATACAAATTTAATATAATAAATTCAAAGAGAAACAAATATAAATTAAATATTTTTACATAAAATATTTTTCTAGTTTACAAGTATTGATATTTCTTTTCACGTTGAACTCTTTCTTCGTTTAATGTTTAGTTTTTGCTAAAGATATTTTTGTTTTTGGTGTAGCTTCCGAAGATGATAAGATAGAAAATGCAATATTTTTTGGTGTTTCTTCTTGAACAACTAAGTAATAAATAATTTATAAAGCTAATTTAAAAATATAAATAATAAACTGCATTAACCTAAAAATTTTACAAATTCTAATAAGTACATTTATATTTTATTACTTAATAAAAAAATCATTTTATAGAATTATAAACGTAAAATTTTTTAGAATGTTTTAATCGGTACTATTTAATCGAATAAATGAAACATATTTACATGGAGTTTCATAAGGTTTTATAATTTTTTGATTATCCAAAAATTTCCAAAATTTCTTTATTTTATCTTGCTTGATTAAGTTTTGAGATCTTATAAATTCTATATCAATGAAAGTATCTTTTATATTTTTAGAATTATCCATATCATTGAATGTCTTTTATATTTTTAGTATTATCCATTTAAATAAACAAATGATGTAGATATTAGAATTACAGATTTGAAATTTCAATTTTATTTACGCACAATGTGAATTAATCAGTTTTTTAGTTCTTTATTTTATGGTAAGAGGGCAATTCAATCGTTATTAAAAACTTTTATTCACTTTTTTTTTTTTTAAATAAATAGAGGCCGGTATAATTTAATTGAAACTTAAAATGGTTTAAAACTTTTTACATATTCTTATATTTTTATAATTTAAATAATATAGTTATTTCATTATGTTTAATTTTAGATAGTGAATGTAAAATGTAGAAAAATATTGACACTTTTAGTTAAAACAAAAATTCAGTTAAAAAAATCAATATTATTCAAATCAGAAAAATGTTTAATATTGATTCAGACGGTTATATTAATCTTTATAGTAAATAATGTGATTGGTAACTACTCATAGCCACACCCGTTTGATGTACAATAATATGCAAAGTATAACAGGAAAGGATATGTTGAATAGGTACGTTTCATTCAAACAAAATTAATGATCTTGGATATTAATTATATTTGGTTTTAAATTTTTAACATAAAATCAATTAAATGCTTATAAATATTAATATTTGTGTTAAGAATCAAATAATTTTTTAACAGTTTTAAGAATGTACAATTTTATGTACGTATGACATTTAAAAATAAGTCGAATAACAATCCAAGATATAATTCGAACAAACCTATTATCACTACTCCACAAACAAATAGATTATTAAGGAAGAAAAAGTGAGAAGTATGAAAGAGAAGATCCATGTATTGAAACGAGCGCGAGGAGGATAATAATATCTAAGATGGCTGCCATGTATTACATATGATTGCAAATGCACACCTAAGTTTACTTGTGTAAATTATTTCAACAGGCCTTTAACCATATACTAGTTTATTTCCTTATTTTTATGTAAAACTACAAAAAAGATAAAATTTGGAATATAAATCAAACATTTACATGGCACATATTTCGCGAATAGTGAATGGTTACACAAAATTTCGTAGTGGATTGTGGTATACTATTTACCAGTGTCAAAAGAAAAAATTAAAATAAACGAAAAAAAATAAGGGATATAGTAGAAAATTAAACAGTTTTCACTTCTTCTGATTTACGTTCTTTTCTTAGTTCTGTTTGATTTTTGGCCTCTACGTCATGAATATACAAAACATATTTTCTGCATGAGGAATAGTGTATTATGGATTACTAAATTCTTCGACTCCTTCACGGAACAACGACAACGACAACGACAACGACAACAGGACACGCAAAAGAAAATACGGCAGTAAAGCTGTGGATGGCTACTGGTAGTGTCCTGTGACATTGACATTATCATCATCCCCAGTGTGAAACAATGTTCAGTAAGAAATTACACGTAGACATTAAAAAGTCAACGCTTAAAATTCAGGATGTTAAGAAAGATAGTGCAACCAGATTCAAGCATCTGAAGATAGTCCTTGGTGAGTTATCATATCTTTCTTAGAAGATCTAAATTTAATTATTTTTCTCGGATATTAATTTCTTTGTATAAAGGCAAAAGAAAGATACAAAATTTGTAACAAAACAGTATAGTGTGATATAGATAGAAATGATGAGTTCGAATATATTCTAGTATCTTATTATGTATGGTACACAAACAATATTTTAAAAGATTGAATCCTATGAAAATACTCTTTAAACATTTGTAACTTTTGATAAATGTTTACTTTTATCCTTAATAAAATTGTTATTGAAGCACTGCCATTTTATGTTATTTATATTATTATACTGCCACATTATTACATTTGTAATTTCCTTTTGAAAGCTGATCTTAATAATTTGCAACAAATTATTACTTTTATAATAATAATAATTCAACCTTACTTATTTTATTGTTACACAAAATTCTAAACTTCTTTAATTATATTTGTTATATATACAATATATTGATTAAGCTATATTTAAAATGATTTTCATGATTAATCAATGTATCTTTATTTTAATTTTATCCAATAACAAAGTAAATTTTTTCTTGATATTTCTTTCATTCATAAAAGTAATTTTATCAGTTAAATTATTTGTTTGTTGTACAGTTGACTTATTTTAATATTTAATACAGTTAACTTATTTTAATATTGACTTATTTTAATATTAAATAAATTATAGTGTTACATATTTTATTATAAATACTTACTGTTAAAGGTAATAAATTAATATAAAAGATATAACCTTTTTATCTACCAAAACTAGTTTTTATTTTAAATTCGAATTGTATGATAATGAAGAATTTATTAAAAAAAAAACTAGTAGTATTATTTAAAAAACAATAGTGTTAGGCTTTTATTTGAATCAATTGTTTTTATTTTTTTTCTTATTCTTTTATACGTGCTATTACTTGATTAAGTTAAAGAAAAAATTTTAATTAGTCCATAACTGAGGTATCTTATATAATTAATTCAACATTTTTTAAATTTTAGATAATGTAGATATTGAAGAAGCTAAAGGTTTTTTTGAAGGAAATTTTAGTCATGTCTATTTTATTCTATATGATTGTTTTGTATCAGCAGAAACAAATCTACGCCAGAGAGGTAACATACAATAACCTCTTTTTAATATTTTAAAAATAAATTGTATTTTACAAAATCAATCAATAAGATAATATTAATCTTATCTAACCAAATAACATTAACCCATTATGGTAAAAAATATATAAATATTAATCTAGATAAGAATAATAAAAATAATATTAAATAGTTGTACACACAAATTAATAATTATATTATTAATTGAATATTAATTTTTCCTTAAAATTGTGAAAATATTTTTTCCCATGAGATGGAATTTGAACTTAACGGGTTGAAATTATTTATAATCAGAATATATTTTATTCTATTAATTGACTAATACAGATTTTTTCTACTTTTGCTCCATTGACAGAACTCTCATTTCATCTTGGTAAGTGCCAATGTATGCTTTAATGTTTTCTTTTAAAAAATTAATTTCCATGTTCTAAATTAACACTTTATATGAGAGAAATATATATTTCATTTAAATAAACATGTTTTTGATAGTTCATAAAGCACACAGAGAAGAATTGGAACAAGTATTACAATTACTGGAAAGAGTTCTGATACTTCTTCCAGAATTATTAAATAAACGTTGGCAATGCCATAGTTTAGCAAGAATTTTATATAAGCTTTTACATCCTGGAAATAGTTGGAAACTTCGAAGACAAGCTATAAGGTAAATATTTATGAAAATTTTTATAAGTAAATGCTATATGGTAAATTTATACAAATGATAAAATTTATTCACTTCAAAATAAAAAATTCATTTTCACCTTTTACATTTTATATTTCAATTTTTATAAACTTAGACTTCTTAACAAAATTATATAATCCTTATTTTATGCAATTAGTTCATGAAAAAAAAAAATATATATACACATATATATATATATATAAATGATTAATCGTGTTGTGTTGTAGATATTTTATTTTATGGTATCAGATACTAGGAGAGAATGCACCTGAACACATACATCAAATGTTCGCTTGTCTTGTGCCTGGTTTTCCACCAAAACAGCCAACACCATATAAATCTGAACGGAAGATCAATGGTAAGAAGCATACTAAATCAGCAAACTGTGATGAGAAAGAAAAGGATTTTTTTGATCCAGAATTAAGTCAATACATTTTTCATGATAACGGCGTCACACAGGGTCCCATCACACAAATTGATAGTGGACCCATTCTACCACCACAAAGTGGTGAAAAACCATTAGACAACGAAAGTGTCAAGTTTTTGGAGGCATTATTAGAATTTATGGTAACACAGGTATTATAAAGAGAATATTGAATTTATTTAATATTTAAAAAAAAGTTTGGTGTGTATATTATACAAAGTAATCATTATATATATGCTTGTATAATTTTAAGTTGAATAATATATTTATTAACTTATTAATTGTTTACAGGTTGTAAAAATTGAATGGCTTGATAAACCTTCTCGGCAATATAAATCATTTCAGTTTCTACTTGATCGCTTTAAAGCAACGTATTTAAAATATATTTGTCCACAATTTAACAATAATTTTTCTTTATACAAACCTAATTTAGAATTATCGTTTATGCGTAAGCCAATGAATCAAAGCCAAAATAATTATATACTTTGTAAAGTTGCACTGATAAAATGGATTGCTACTTTTACTCATGTTATAAAGAAAGATGGAGCTTTTTCACATTTTACTCAAAGGTGGCTATTTTCATTCTTTTTAAAATTAAATTATAATAAAAGAATGCATGTAATAATAAAAGAAATCATGAAATTATAGTATAACGCCAAGTGAAGAAAATGCAGACGAATTGCGTCGCGTGTCTGTATTACACAATCCAACAGATTCTAGTATAATATCAGATTCTAATACTATACAAGAAAGTGTTTTTTCAGAAGATAGTACTGTTACGTCTATGGCACTAGTTCGTGAAGTATTTTACGGGAATCGGGATAATGTTAATTTTATTCATGAAATATATAGACAAGCATTTTTATTAGATTTTACTCATGCTGGAGCAATTAGAAAAGCTATTGGTGCTTATAAAGATTGGATACAAATGAACGTGCGTATATGTTTTTCACTTTTCATACTTATAACTTGAAATATTAAACATGAATAGCTCATCTTCATATAACATAACATACACAATATTGACAACTAAACAGTGTATTAATTTTTAATTATTTTAGGAAGTTCCACCATTTATGTTAGAACCATTAGATAGAGAATGTGAAGAGAATCAAAAGAAAGATCTTGATTTTGAAAAAAGTCTAGATAACTCAAAATTGTTGCGTCTTAGGAACGACTCCTATATTGGTGCTATTCATAGAGAAAATCTCTTTGTAAGAGCTGGACTACAAAATGTGCTTCAAGTATTTATTACTCAAGCTTCTAATGTATTTTTCTTAGAAACTGTTGCATCGGCTACTCTACTTGAGGAGCAAACTGATAGTTGCAAAAGAGTTCTTAATGTTTATCGATATGTTGTTATGCATACAAGACTTGAACCTGCTACTTGGGAGCAATTATTAAGGTACATATCATTTTTATTTAAAATTTATTTTAAAAATATTCTATAGTAATGGTATGAAATATATTAACATTTTAGTAACAATGATTTTATGGATTGTAAAACTAATTATTTTTATTTTATTAAAATTAGTATTTAGTATTTTAATTGGTTTGTAATTAAGACAATAAAGAATATCATTCATTAATACAATGATTAAAGATTAAATGAATAATTAGTATTTATGTCAATATGTTAACGTATGATTATCATTTTATTATTATAATTTGTAATTGAAATATTTATTTTTTATACTATAAATTCTAAAAATATTTATTAAGGGTATTATTACAAATAACATCTTTGGTATTGAGTGAAAAAAATTCTCGACGAAAATATCATGAAAGTATTGGTGTCAAACTAGCATCTGCCATTTTTCAAACTCTTATTGTGACTTGGATAAAAGCTAATTTAAATGTGATCATATCAACACAATTATGGGATCGATTTCTTCAAGTTTTAACTTCCCTTACACATTGGGAAGAACTAATAAGAGAGTGGGCTGTAAGTACTAATATATTACTAATAAATTTTTGTGCCATTAGGCGATTTCTTCATAAATCAAACTTCATTTTACTCGTGTATCATGTAAGATTATGTAAGATTAATTTGAATTTAATTTAATTAATTTCAATAAAGATTTGTATGCTTATAGTTAACTAATAGTAATTCAATAAAATTGTCAATTAAAAAAAATAAAAATGCATCGATAAATCGATACTTTATAATTTTTCAAATCATAAAAATTTATTTTATACAAGATTTCATTACAATATAATACTCTATAAAGTATGAACACATGGAAATCATATTTTAAATTTCCTTGTTTATACTGTACACAAAATTATCTATTTTTAAAATTTTATTTTGCAAAATTTATTTAAATAAGAAAATTTTTTAAATTATTTAATTTTAATACATAGTCAATTGTATTAGAAAACCTTGGACACGTTAACAAGAGTTCTCGCCAGGCATGTTTATAATCTTGATCTAAATGATCTTCCATTAGATAGATTGAGTGAGCAAAAGTCAAAAAGACGAAAAGGAGTGGGTAGTCGTGCCACATCAACTAATAGCGTACAACCATCTCGAAGAGGAAGTGTCGATCATGAAATAGTTCAGTTATCAAAGGAAGTTACAGGTAAGATAATAATTTGTACATTAAATTGTATATTATTATTTGTGTAATTATATTACACAATAAACAGTCAATTTATTGACCAAACTAAATTTGATTAAATTTATACATTTTGCAATATAATGAAGGGTATTTTAATTCAACGCCAATTTTTTCGCAAGTAAAAATAGCTTTTAGATACACAGTACTATAATAATTTAGTAGTTGTAGTGTAGGTAATGTATTTTTATATCAAATAAAATAATTTATTTAATATTTCGAAATTTAATTATTCTTTTTGTTAGTCTTTCCGGAAAATGTTATTTAAAATATTATTAAAACTTAAATTATAATACTTTCAAAATTAGATCATATCCTGTATATCATAAATATTCAAAATATTACGCAAGTATATAAAACATTTTGAATGTAAAGTATTGTGTGGTATTTTTTAAGTTTGAAATTCATTAACAAATATGTTTGATTTTAGAATTTAGAAATAATATATTTAAATATTTGTTTTAACAGTATTGAATTTTTCATTAATTTCTTTTACCGTTTTAAATAATTACGTATAAAATTATTAACTTTTATACAATTATTCAATAAAGATAGGCTATGATTGATAAACATACGTATATTCAATTTAAATTAAAAATGAAAAAAATTAAAATTTTAATTGTTAAAACCATATTTTGTTTTAGTTAAATAATTATTAATATTCAATTATTAACATGAATATCATGATTAATATTAATTATTATTAAAATAATTTAAATAATTTGAATACAGATCATGCATTTCGTGAGTTGAGAAAAGTTCGACTACTGCCACGAAGTGTAAGCGATAATTCCATTTACAATGGAAAAATTAATTTCAAGATTCACAGACATCGTTCGCAAGCTGTTAGCGCCGGCATATCTGGTGAGTTATTTAGCCCTAATTAAGGATAAATAATATTAAAGTCCAAAGTTTTTTTTGTATTTTTTTGTGTTTTGTTAAACAACTTTTGCGTTTATTATATATACTATTATAAGAAAGTTTAATTCAAAAAGCTTCATTTTAAAATTTTTATTGATTAGTATAAATATTACGTGTACTTATAAATGTAACATTCAGTCCAAGATTTTTTGCTTTTGTACTGTCAGTCGATTTAAAATACTTAATTTCGTGTTTCGGTTGTGTGCACCATTTTTCAATGCTTATATGTTTGTATTACGTGTATTTAAACTTTGTTCTTTTTATAAACTTATACAAGAATGTTAATAAAAAAGCAGTTGTTAAGTTTATTTGTCAACTCTTTTTAATTTTGAATGCTTTGCTTATTTTGAATTTATATTTTTCGCATAATTTTACAATAATTTTTTCCATTTTAATTTACTTTATTCAATGTTATTTTTTTTTCTATATATTATGTTTTTGTTTTTATACCTAATTGTTATTTTATATTTAAGTTATACATATGATTGTAAATAAAAAATTCACACGTTTATTTATAATAATAAATAAGTTTGTATATAAATAATAAATAAATTAATTTATGCAAAATATTTTATTTTTACTTTAAGATGTTAAATAATATTTGAAAAATTTGGATGAAAAATGTTATTGCTATAAAAATGAGAAAGTTATGTATATGTGATTTGAAGAATAATCAATTTCGAGAATTATAAAAAAAAAGCCACATATTCATGATTTATGGCATACTTTCAATTTATGGAGAGTAACTTATAATTTGTATATAATAATATACCATATAATAATAATATACCACATATGTTAGAGTAGCAGTTTCAGTAAGTTTGAAAGGGAGATACCATTTGTAAAGAATTTTTTTTTTATTAAGGTAAAACTTTGGTCAAAATTGCCAATTATTTTGTAAAATAAGAATTCTAATGTAAATTAAAATAGGGTTAGATTGGTCGATCACACTGAGATCGATTGTCAGTTTACAAAGTAAATCTCTTCGAACGTTTTATTACGTGATAAATACGTGTTTTGGCTTCGAACCGAATTAGCGTTTAACCACTTGCTTCCTTCATTATGGAAAATAAATTGACAACCGGATCACTGTCCGGTGTAGCACTGCCTATTTCCATAGAACAGAACATGGTGAGACTAGCATCGAATATATCGCGATGTGACTCCAGGGGTAAGCGGTTGAGTCTCAGTCGCCGTACTAAGTCCCTAGAGAGCATCATTTTTTCGGAAAATAGTGAGCCGACAACCCCGAGATGTCCTTCACCAACTCTGAGCAGCGGTGTTAACAGTGATAAGGACAGTCCTATACAAATCGAAAATATTGATGGTAGCAGCATTGGTATGTAAACATGGCTGTATGACTGTATTAAAAAGAAATATTTTACTGTTATTTTACTGTATTTTTAAAATTTTTTGATCTATTCTTTTATTTTTATGCGAATAAAAATGATCATCTATATTTTTTAATGCTTATATACTACATTATTTGTTTGCACCCATTAATCTTATTGTTTAATATCCAATATGTCATCGAATAATTACCATTATTTTCCTCTTTACATTACGAGTATGCTGATTTTCATTTTCATTGCATAAGAACTTGCCTTAACCAGCGCATTAAGGAATCATTGATTAGTGATTTATAATATTATAATACAATAACTATTTTCAGTCATTTCTTATTTTTTATTCTTTAAAATATTTTATATTTAGTTTGTAAATTATTTTAATATGCATGTATATAACTTTATAGCTATTATTTATAGCTTAATTGATTCATTTATATTATAGATAGTTTATTAGTGAATTATAATGAATTTTAAATAAAATAATTTACTTAGTCTCTTGTAAAAATTTGAAATCTGAAATTTTGGCAATAGTATTTTGTAATAAACATACATTAAAAAATTTCTTAAAATTGTAAGCAGATTATCGCTCATAATTCATTAATTTTTATTAATGATTTTCTAATTTATTATTTTTCTTAACAAAATTTATTGTTACCGTCGCATTGTATGTTTAATAGTATTCAACATTCAAGCAACTGTTATTTTTTAATTTATATATTTTTTAATTTTACCTATAATTGAATAATTCTATGAAATTTTTTTTTTTAATGTATAAAAATAATTGTTTTTATTTTATTAAATATTTAAATACTATTTTATTTTATAGATACGAATGATGCATCAGAAAAGAGGTCGGTGATGGCTGGTGGTAGCGTGAAAGGTTGGTTGCCCGATGTAGCCGTCGTTCTCTGGAGACGTATGTTATGCGCCTTGGGCGATGTTAATAATATTCAAGATCCAGCACTTCACGGTCAAGTCATGCAATATCTTGTACAGCTTACGCAGACGCTTATCAAAGTAAAGTATAACATTAAACGCGATAGTTTGAGGTATCTCGTTATATACATTTTTCAAAATATTTACCTTCATTTTTTAGATACGACAAAATCAAGGAGTTTCCGGAGATAATCAAGCAACTCCTCCAGCACCAGAACTAATCCCTCCATTATCGATAATTGCTCCATGGTGTTTTAAGGTATGTTTATTTGCTTGAGTTTTTTTACAAATGCATGTGATATAATTAAATAAACTTATATATAAAAATTATTTTTAAATATTACAATTATTATTAACTTTATAATTAGTGTGACTAAAAATTTCTACAACTGCTAATTAATTTAAATTTTATATTTTTATAAGAATGTGCAATTTTTATTTGTTTTCTGTTTTCTAATATTAAAAATAAATCTGTATGAATTATGTAAAAGGGTTTTTCAAAAGGCTCATTATAAATTTATTGAATGATAAAAGGGTTTGGGAGTTTCTCGTTATGTATTGAAAAATGAATATGTAAAATTTCAAATCTATTAATTTAAAAATTTTAAATCATAAAATATTGAAAAATTGTTATTCTATGGAAGAAGAAAACACTTCTTCAAAACTGATTAAAACTATTATATTATTTTAGGCAATACAATTACCTCTACAGTACGAAGCAGGAAAACTAGCAGCATATCGGCTTATTTGTATTTTAACAATTCAGCCACAAGATATTAATTTACCAAAGCAGCACTTGACACTTTTTTATCAAGCTGTTCATCATGGAATTTCTAGCAACAACACAAAGATTCTTCATACTCTTGTGAAATATACAGGATCCCGATTATTTAGTTTAAATTTACCTGGCTGCAGTCTTTTAATTTTGGATTATATTCAAGCTGCAAACGTGATTCTTAGTAGTCAGGATATTCAGGTTTATAAATACTCAAAAATATTTTTTTAATTAAATTTCTCCATTTATATTTAATTATTGAGTTATTATAGGCTCCAAGAATGGAAGCAGTTTCGATTCTGGGTTCATTATTGTCATTACCAACAACTAATGCTAATACAATAGTTTTACAACCAAATGAATCAGAGATCGTAACGACAACTTGTCCATATGCAAAAGTAAAGTTTAATTTTTTTGTTAAAGCATAATTAGATAAACATTATATAATTCTATTTAGTGTACAATTTTATATTTATTTTTAAGGATCATATTATAGCAATTTTAATGCGATGCTGTCGTCATGAGCCAACAGGTGTAGCAAGATGCATAGCACTATCAAGTATTGCCATGTTTGTTTATAAAGAATTAAGCTACAAATCTTTACATAGAACGATACCAGAGGCTGTCAATGTACTTCTGTTTTCGTTACTGGTAATTACAAGCATAATTTTTTTTATACTTTGTTCTAAATATTAAATTACATTTAAAACGAATATTTGATAATTGATAATGTTATATCATAGTTTAAGAAATATTTATAAATTTAAATATTTTCTGATGAAAATAATTAAAAAGTAATATTGTACAAAAATATAAAATTAATTTAAGATTGAACAAAAATTCTTTCTAAAATATACAGGTAATTATTATATAAGCATTTCAAATAGAACTAAATAGTTTGCAAACTATTGGTACATTTATTTTATATACATAAAATGCATATAAAATAATATAATTATATTATTATTATAATATAATAATATATTCATTTTACATGGATATTGTTTAAATTTATTAATATTAATGTTACACTCTGAAAGTCAATAAAATTTGGAATTTGGGCAAATAAAGAAATTGAATTTTTTTTCTAATAAATTAATCATAAATTTTTCACACGTGAAATAATTTTCAATATCATAAATACAATACCGCAATGCTGATCAATAATGTATTAAAGGTTATTGAACTTTATATCTTAATATTATGTTATTAATTCTTTATAATATTAAATAAGATTATTTTACTATGTAACAATTTATTCATTCAAATATTTTAATAATTTTAATGCGCTTTTAAGATATATTTCATTTGTATATATACTATCAACTCATAGCAAATCAATTTTTATTTTATAGACATCTCACACAACTGTTGCACAAGTCGCATGTGATTGCCTTCTTTTACTTTGTAATAAAGCTGATGTTTTCCTTGAACAATACCCTAATGTTCCAGCAAAAATAATACAGGTACTGCAAAGTAATTGATGATTGATAAATGAAAATATTAATTATTATGTAATTATTTTTATTAAGAGTTTATCTGAAACACTTGAAAGGACTATAAAGCAAGAGAGAAACAGTATTTTAACGATTTCTATGCTTTTTTGTTTGGGAGAATGGGCAATGCATCTTGGTCCAAATATACTATTGCAAATATTTCAAGGAAAGTCACTTCTCTTAACACTTTTTTCTGTAAGTTCTGTAAATATATATAATTCTTTATAGAAGTTACTTTTAAAATTAAAAAGTGAATTTGCTTCTAAGGTTTTAGATAATATTGCACAAAATAAATTTTATAAAGAAAACTCTTGTAAAGCCCAGCAATTTGAAAAAGAAGATTTTGAACCAAACATTGTTTTAGATAATTTATTTGATGAAACATCTTCAAAATTATTTTGGAGAGAAAATGTACAATCTGTACAATTGGCTGCAAAAATGGTAAATCTTAAAATTTGTATTTGTTTTATATCTGTATTTAAATCATTGTATGTAATACAATAGTATATTGTGTATGCCTGGCATTATTCTAAATAAATTAGAATATAGAGCTGGAATTAGATAATAACATTTTTAACTTATAAATTAGGTAATGACACACCTCATCAATCATTTAGGACACTTTCCAATGGGGATTGGTGCAGCTCGTTTGTCATCTTTAGTCGTTGAGTTAGACGATGTGCCAGGTATTAATGGCGATGAATTATCTTCAGCAATATTTCAAGCACCCAACATTCAATTACTTATGCTGTCCAATTCCATCATAATGTCTTTGATAGAACTCAATACTTTAGATGCACCAGGTGGTGGAGTCACAGCAGGATTGATGACTGCCCCATCAATGGTGCGGGTATTGTTAAGAGATTTAGCTGGAAAAGCATCGTGGGATAGTTCAATTTTGTATAACCAGCCTTCCAATGATGATATCGAAATTTCTGATATTAAACGAGGTTTTTTTTTTTTTTTTATAATAATATGTAGTTAAAACTTTATTGCAAAAATTCAGTAGTATTACAAAAAAATAGTAATATTTTAATTTATTACAAAAATTATATCTGTAGAATAATTGCAAAAATAAACAAATATAATTTTATATTAATTATATTAATATTAAATAATAATTAATATAAATTTGTGTTTATATCTCATAAATTTATCTTCTATTTTAATATTATTTTGAAAATAAATTTTATTTATAAACTATTTTAGTTATATTATTTAATAATAATTTTTTTTCTCTACAGACTGTTCAATGAGAGCTATAAAAGATGATTTATGTAGCGTAATTTCTTTACAAAACTGTCCTCCAAGACATACTATGCGACATAACGATCCGCATGTTTTACCTACATATGAAAATGGAGCGAGTGATATAGACAACTTGGATGATGTAAGTAATAATACTAGCTTAAAAACCAGTTGATTATAAATTGAATTAAGTAACAAATGAAATCAACGTATTTATAAATTTAAATTGTATATGGAAGAGTTACTGCTTACATAAAATATAAACAATTATAAATAAAACAAGTAATATGTAATATTATGATAAATATTTAATAGCTGCTTCAGTATATTGGTCACACCAGCCCAGAAGTTTTGATGAATCCTGAGATGAGCTTAAACTCACCAGTGGGCCCACCACAAGGTCAATACTCAGAAACCGAAACGATAGCTACAATCCTTGGTCAACGCAACATTGAACGCGAATACGTAAATGGCTGGAATCAACGCATTGGCGCGTGTGCAGCCCCGATGGTCTCGCCAACTTATTGTTTACCATCCGCGCCCTTCCATCATTGCCGACTTCTTTTCTCACAGTTAGGTCTCTCTGGCTGGGAACAGCGTACGAAACTGCATCTACTTTCGAAGAACGAAAAATTATTGAGGGAATTGAGAAATATTGATGGCCAAAGATCGAGAGAGACCCACAAAATCGCAGTGATATATGTAGCCCAGGGCCAAGAAGATAAAAACTCGATTCTTGGGAATGTAACTGCAAGTAAGGAGTATGAAAGTTTTATTGCAAGGCTTGCATGGGAGGTTGAACTTGAATCTCACACTGGATTCTTGGGTGGCCTTGTGCCAGGAAAGGCATCTGGCGTTACTGCACCGTACTTCGCTACTTCTTTTGCTGAAATTATATTCCACGTTGCCACCAGAATGCCCTCTGATAGTCCCGAAAGTTTGTTACAAAAGGTTAGTATAAGGCTTTTTTTGAATATTTGAATTAAATCTGATTTGGTCTATATAACTATATAATTTTATTAGCTTGTATTAAGAAAATGCATGTCTTTCTTATTTGTTGACTTAATAGACGAGACATCTTGGTAATGATGAAATACATATTGTTTGGTCGGAGCATTGGCGAGATTATCGTCGAGACATCATTCCTACCGAATTTTGTGATGTACTGATAGTTATTTATCCCCTTGAAAACAAATTGTATAGAGTGCAAGTATCCAAGAAACCAGAAATTCCATTTTTTGGATTACTATTTAATGAGTGTATTGTAGAAGATGTGGTATTACCAGGATTGATTAGAACTACAGCACTTGCTGCTAGCAGAGCAAAGAGAACAACATTAACATTATATCAGCATTAGTACGCTTATTACATTCATTAAATTTTTATTTGAAATATTTGACGTTTTTTATTTATATTAAATTTCATATTGAAATTACCTTTGATTTTTATTCAGTTATGAAGAACGAGCAAAATCTATAGACACAATTATGAAAAATCATAAAGAATCAACAACTTTTGAAGAGTTTGCTGCAAATGTATATTCTCCTGTTCAATCGACAAGTCCATTTAATGGAACTTCTTCAGTTTCAGGTTTGTATTATCAAAGCTTTTTATATTTGAAATCATACTAGTAAAAAAAGTTCTGTTTCTCAAGTTTGAATTCCATGTATATAATCGATAATCATAAAAACCAAATAATTTTATTAAACATGATTATTCAATATTAGTTAAATATTATTTATATATTTTTATATGTTTTTATATTATATTTATAAGTATCAGATATTTGAAAAATTATATTTGAAGGTTCGACAATAAGTGTACAATCTGCAGCATCATCGAATCTTGCAGCTGCACTTCTAGATTCACATCAGATTCGACCAGGTTTTCGAGGTACTTATTCTGCCAGCAATGATAATCGTGCAAATAGAGGTAAAAAATTTTCAATTTTAACTTCATCTATTTCACCACACATCATTTAATAAAGGGCATAATCCAAATCGTTCTTGAAACTAAAAAAGATTGTACATATGATCATATTGTGTTTTCAATAATAATTGTAGTATCGGGTTTAATTCTAACTTTCAATAAACGCTTTTCTTTTGACAGTTTTACAAAATCTATTGAGAGGTAATACTTCCATTCTTCGTATATCCTAGAAACTAGTCATAACTTTAGAAGTTTTTCACACACGCATCGTTTGGTTAATCTTCGTATGCGTGTGCAAGAGAATATACTAAATTGGAAAGGTATAGCTATCGCTCTAAAAGAATTTCATATAACCCGTATTAATCGCTTTACTTGCATTAATTTGTTCTCAGCTACCGATGGTAGTCGTGTGTGGTTTAGCAGTGACACCACTGATAGCGCATCTTTCCGTGGGATATCTCCGAGACCAACGAAGAAAATGTCATTCAAGACAGGACCTAAGAACAAAAATAATTTTCAGTCTACACCACCAGACAGCCCTAGATATAAATAATCTTAAGAGTGAAATTGTAAAGGCATTCTATAGTTGTAGATTGTTCAGCCTTTTTCTATTGTAAATTTACCCAATATTAAAAAAAACAACATATTTTATAAACTTTAATTAGTATCATAAGAACAAACATATTATTTAAAAATATGTTCCAGACTTCACAATTTATTTATTATTTTATTAAAAAAATTGTTCTAAAAAAATTTTTTTATGAGATTGTATTAAATTGATGGAAACTAAAATATTAGTCAAAAAAATATTTTAAAAACAACTTTTAAAAATGATATAAAATAAATATAATTAATAATTTAATAGTAATTTAAAATTGGTGATAATTCGAAAGTTAAACATTTTTTAGTTAAAATTAAAATTTACTCTTAATTTATCACGATTTATAACGATAATAATTAAGTTTACTTAGAAAAAAAGTAATATATGAATATAATGTAAATTAAAAAATTAATTGACAATTAACTCCAATATTTTACTATTTCCGTCCTTAGAATTAATTTTGAATGCTTGCATGTAGAAATAATTAAATGATAATTAGATAATTGAATATTAGGTAATAATAAATTGTTACAAGTTATGTTTATTATTAATTATTGTTATATTACAAAGTTATAAAATTGCATTATTTTTAACATACGTTCTTAAATGATATTACAATACCTAGTAGTATTATATAAAATCCAACAAAATGAAAAGATACATTTCATTTTAATAGAAGCATTTGTTTATAATTTATTATTTTTAAAGAAAATATCTATTAAGTATACTAATTTGCCTAAATACTAATCATCTTAAATTACACTTGTAAGGGATATAACCTTGAATGCAAAGCTTTGTAAAAATATCTAGAAGTGATTTATTACATTTAAAATAATTAGAAGATGAGTCATGAAGATGCTTAAACCGTATTTAAGGTATTATGTATTGCTTAAACATTAAAACAATTGTATTAATGTTAAATATAGATGTTTAAATGTTTAAATTAGTCGATTTTATTTTAGAATATTATTTTAGAATAAACAAAGTATTCTATAATCGATTAATATTATCTATATGATTTTATGCTTAAATCTAAAAAAATATTTATTCATATACAGTCTTAAAATAATGTATAAGAAATGTAAGTAATGCTGTTATTCAAAATTTAATTAAAACATTAATACATATTTATAAACATCTATACTCGTAAAAATGAATTTAAAATAGAAATGAAAGAAATTGGATATTTAGAAGTTTTTTTATTAGTAGAAACACTTTTAATAAATTATTGTCCATTAAAAATGAAAAAAGTCAATTTACACTGAAACACATCTTTTACAATCATTACAAGAAAGAATCATGAAAAAAGTAATGTTTTAAAAGAGGAAAGATTTTAATTGTGAAACAAGTAATTTAAGCAACAAGATATTAATGTTATGCAAAACTAATCTAAAATAATTGCTACATAATGTTTTAAAGATAAATTAAATGACCAAATGTATTTTAAAAATTTTGCTCTATAACTGAATTATTTGCCTTTCCTCTTTTATTTAATGATATCTAGTATATTCATATCTTTGTAATAATTTATTATGGATTTGTATATTTTTTTAAGTATGTAATTAATTGTTGGGTATAAACGTGTTTATACCTATTATGTGTAAACATCATGAAAAATATTAAACTATCAATTGCTTTCAAAAGTATATATGATAAATTTTGTCATTTGTGATTTTTATAAACATTCTTTGTTTACAAATAAGTAACCACATTTAGAAAAATTTACATTGTGCATTAAAAGGCATATCATGATATAAATGTTACGTAATGTACATTCCATCAAAACTTATGTAAGATTTTAGAAATTCAAATGTAATTCCAAAAATCTCCTTATGCAAGTAAACTAATAATTTTATTAGAATTTATAAAATATTTATAACGTAATATTTATTATATAAGTATAATTATTTAAAGGTAGAACAAATGTTAGCGATTGAAGTATTAAAAAATTATTTATATATGAACAAAAAATTCTTACTATTCATTGACTTCAGATTTGTAAAAATGATGTAAAACATAATATAATTAACATCAATTAAAAATAAATGAATTATTGAAAATTTACATTGAAATCTAATTGATAAATTATATAAAATTAATTTTATATATTTCAATATTATCAACAATATGATGTATAACAATTGTATTAATTTTATAATCATAACCAAGGCAGCATTTTTTTCAATGATTTATATTAAAGTGAAGAATAAATCAAAATATATATGCTCTATAAAATCGAAAAGTATCTTAATCAAAGGAAGAAATGATTAGTATACTGTAATTTAAGTTCCAGTGTAGTTTATTTCGAACTTTTTTTATTATTCAATTTTTGATTTCTTAAAATATATAGAAGTATATGATTTTCATATAAATATCATTAATTTTTTTTATACTGTTAATGCGATTAAAAAGTTAATTATTTTGAATTTTTTAACAGACTGAAAATTTAAAAATTATAAATTTGAAAAGATCATTTTTTAAACTATTTGTTTTTTATTGTAATATTTTAATGTATATTTATTTATGCAGTTTTATTCAATAATTGTACAACAAAATATAGAAAATTGCACAATAATTTGAGACCATCAAAATTTAATTTTTATTTTAGTTTATAATATAACTGTCTTTAGTATAAAAGAGAAATAAAACTTTATAATTTGTTCCATATTCTTCTTTTTTCAAGACTAAATATTTGATATATCAAGACTTGATAATATTTTGAATAAATTAATTATAACTACATTTATAATTTATATTAATAAATTATAATTTTGTATTTAAATTCAAACGACATTCATAAAATTTACTATAAAATTATAAAATGATATAATATTGATCAAGTTAGTTGTAATCACTATTAAAAACTTTATATTTTTAGTTTATATGTATGTAATAGCAAAATGAAAATATAATTAATTAAGGAAAGGATAGAGGATGAAGTTGAAATATATACAACTGAAAAAATAGGTATTGTAGAAATATTAAAAATCGTAGGTAATCTCTGAGGTTTTAATTCTATTGACAGTATTATCACTAGTTAATAAATTTCCATGCTTATCAAATGTAAATCTAAATTTAAAAGTAATATCGTATGAGTTTTATGAAATCTCAAACCCATAATAAATATATTTATGTTAATAAATAAAAACGCCAATTGTAATCTCAAATACACAATAAATATAGTAATTTTTTTAAATATTTAAAAATAAAAAATATAAACTTTTTATTGCAAATTGCATCTTTAATTTTTCAAAACCTAATATTCATATTAGTTTTTTTATAATTTTATTTTAAATTATATAATAAGGAT